TTAAAGCCGCCAGTAAGCTGTTAATGTTACTGCAGAAAACCAAGATATTCTCCATATTGAAAAATGGTTCTAAGTCTTTGTGGCGTTTACGAAAAACACATACCGAAACATCGTCTTCTAACAAGTTCCACTGCTACAGTCTTGATCCAAGTAACTCTGGCTTACATTTTGGAAGTTCTAAATCTCTTACAAGATCATTTAATTCTGACTGTGTTATTTTGTGCGGTTGGTGGCATGACGTGCTCGGTATAAAATCAGGATCTCTTGACGTTGATGGCATATCTTCTTCCTGACGAATCACTCGATCGCCATGATCTAATTCGTTTTCTGATTCGCAAGTGTAGGATTCTGGGGGTTTTGGGATAGGATTTTCGTCACTGTGAGGCACAGGTCTCATCGCAGATGGTATGTTTGGGTAGTTAATAACCGATTTTTTTTTCTTGGACATACCTGTGGCTTGTTCAACACAAGGTACCATGCAAAAGTAACAATCATTAATATGATTTGTAGGCTCTCTCCAAACCATTGGGACAGCAAAGCGCATAGACCGTTTTTTGCCTTTTAACCAGCTCCGCAGACTTGAAGCACATGTATTACAGCAGATGTGGGGTGCTCACTGTTTGTCTTGATCACCTAGTTTACAACCGAAATAAAGCTGATATGCCTTTGTTATTAGTGGAGTAATAGACCGTCTCTGAGACGCAAAAGTCACATCATCACACACGTAACAAAACTGATCTGGATTGTTTACACACTTTCGAGACATCTTGCATGAACGCTGTCAGCCAACTGAGGAAAAAATGGCTAATATAAAACAATATAATGTACACGTATGTATAACGTAACACAATCATGCCGATTACATCATCTTTCCTTGCCGAATATAAAAATGTAGCACGTGCATTCTTGTGAATTACAGTATATTACCACTGTCACAGCAGGAACACATATAATTACCGTATCTCTAAAACTTGAACTAATATTGAAAAAATAAGTTTCATTCCGGTTTTAGCGCATTAAAAATAGTAATATTTTGTTGATTTTATTTAGGATATTTTTTGGCTGTTGATCAATGATAATTTGTAGTACGTAACGTTATTTGTTACATTTTCCAACCGCCGCGCTATTGCAAAATCCAACAATAACTCGAGATGTGTTGATTTTATCACCATCGGTGGAAATCGAAGATAATTCTAAAATAAATTAAAACACTAAGTCGCATCAGAATTGAAATAAATAATTCTAATCAAAATGAAAACAAAATATTGAATTCTTCTGCGTCGCCGTTGCTAGGCAATGTGGTGATTACCTTCGCTCTTCAGCCAGCTTCTATCTCTTTCTAACACGTGTTGATACACACTTCTCGTGCTTATCTCTCGTACACATTGAACTCAAGTCGTCAGATAAATTTGATAAATTTTGCTTTTGCTACAATTGATTGCCTATGATTGAGGCTGATTTATGGTTTGGGCATCAAACGAGAAATCCCAATTTCCCAGGGAGTAAGGAATAATGGCTAATATAACTAACCATATTTTCTGCTGATACAGAGAGTACAGAACAGTTTTTCGGGCCTTTTGCATTAGTACAGGGTGCGGCAGAGAGAATCGACGGTTTTAAAAAATCATAAAATAGGTAATTTTTACTCGAAAACAAAGTTATTGATGGAATCAGGTTCACAAGGAAATAGCATTAGAGACAGTCAAGTGTGGAAAATCGGGCATGTGGTGGCTGAAATCGTTGATGCAGTGCTGGAGGCGTTCTTGGAAGTTCTGCCGCACCATGTATCATCAAGAAACTGTGAAGGAAACCTCAAATACTATATTAAGCTCAGGAAAGTGTTTTGAACCTTTTTCAGTGGAACAGTTTTCATTATCTCCTGAAACATTCAAATTAGATGGGAATTATGAGGTTCTTGTAATGACCGGTTCAACTGTTTAAAACAGTTACGTTCCTAAACAGGGCGATATCATTTGTCAGCAAGGGTGAAGTTGTTACCGGTTTAATGCCCCCAAAAAATGTCTTACTTATTTTAGATGGATCAGCGGTAGTTTGAAGCTAAGGAGACTAATTTCTGAGTGCATGCCACCTATTACCCACCTTCAGTTCCAGAGTATCATAATACTAAAAATACAGTAAACCTCAGATATGCAAAAAATCTGCAATATCATGTATAGTGGTGGCAGATATACTAAGTGACATATAAATCCGAACACCCAGTTTAAATGGTTTTATTTCAATAAAATTTTGTATAAGTACTTAATGAAGCATAATAAGTAAATGATAAAAATTTCAAAATGATTGCACTGCTTTAAAGCCCTTTGACCTTTAATAATGTGTGGATGCAGCCTGATGTGCTACGCATTCTCCAACGCGCCTAGGCATGCTTCTGATCAGGTGGTCAATGTCCTGCTGTGGTATCTCATTCCAGGCAACCACCAACTCCTCTCGAAGTGCTTCTAGAGTCTGAGGAGGACGTTGCAAATTCAGCAATCTCCTACCCATCATATCCCACACGTGCTCAATTGGGGATAAGTCGGGAGATCTTGGTGGCCATGGTAACAATGTGACATCATTATGTTGAAAGAAGTCTATTGTGACTCTTGCAACATGTGGTCGGGCATTATCTTGTTGGAAAGTTGGATCTGCCAGGGTGTCAAGATAGGGTAAAAGATGTGGTTCTAGAACTTCGTGGATATAACGCTGCGCGTTCATGTTACCTCTGATGAAGATTAAAGGTGACCTGGAACCATAAGCTATAGCACCCCAAACCATAACTCCAACAGTGTGATGAACATGTCTTTCAACAAAAAACTGTGGATTCCTCCTTTCACCACGTCGCCTTCTAACCCTGGCACGACCATCGTGCATGCCTAAACAAAATCGAGACTCGTCACTAAAGACAATACTGTTCCATTCCTGATCCCAGAGTGACCGTTGTCTGCACCACTCAAGGCGATTACGTCGGTGTTCTCGAGTTAAAGGGAGGACCCAGTGTGTCCGGTATGAAAACAAGCCAAAACTTCTCATTCGTCGGTAAGCACTTTGCATGCCAATAGATCTTCCGTGTTCTGCAAACCATTCATTTGCAATGGACCTGGTAGTGGAGAAATGTTCCCTTAAGGCCAATAATCTTAGGCGGCGATCTTCACGGTCTGTTGTTCTACGGCGGCGTCCAGTGCCCCTTGCTCTTTGCGTACGGCCTTCTCGAAGCCATGTCTGGCAACACCTAACCACAGTGTCTACACTTCTTTGCACTCTAACTGCAATTGCCCGAAAAGAAAGTCCAGCTTCCCGAAGTCCCACTATACGGCCCCTATCAAACTCACTAAGTTGACGAAATCGTACAGGTCTCCGTACTCTAGGCATCGTAACCGATCGTAAAGGATGTCAAGAACCAAAATCCGCCAACGTTGATTCTTTACTGCGGCTGAAATATTCATTTTTAGAGCGTTAGTGAATTAAAAAAGAGCAGTATAAAAACCGGAATGACCAATTGATAAGGCTCACAATTTTTTCACTTGTTATTTACAGTAAGATAAATACATTCACCAACTTTTATTAAAATAAAACCATTTCAACTGGGTGTACGGATTTATATGTCACTTAGTATATTTCACGAACTGTGATTTAGTAAATGAAATTTCCAAATCGCGAGTCAAGACTGTTATCAGATACCGTGAAAAAGCGAGACATGTTTTAGGGGTCAAGCAGATTGTTATTCTTCTCCTAGGCCCTTGCCCTTCCAAAATGCGGGAAAGGCAAGACAGAATCGCATAGATTTTCGCTTGGAAAACTTCTAGGCCCAAAGGGCCTGGCTACAGAGTCCCCTTCAGTAACCAGCGAGCCGTCCATATAGCAGACTTGCCCACTTCCTTGGAGACCTTTGGGCTCAGTATACCTATAATCTCATCGTTATTCGAAAGTCGTGGTCACGTTACGCTTTCAAATCACAGATATAAAAAGAGTAACGATATCAGATATCACAGATGTGCAAAAATAACGATATCGACCATCTTGAATAATGTAACGTACCCATATATGCAATTGGATTTACTATGTCCATATTGTACGTATGAAAACATCTCGTAATGGACATTCTGATGGTGCAGCTTCAAGGAGAGAAGCTGCAAAACCCGTCGGAAATGTCTTTAAGAGGGTTTAACGTGCGATTTACCGTGGAAAAACAAATATAAAGGAAAAATTCAATAGAAACGGGATGGCAGTAGCGGTAGCGGAAGTAAACGTCGCTTACTTGATCTCCAGAGAAACACAATTTTACCCTGCATGAACAACAACCCGCTGGTGAGATGTGGTAACCTTTTTAATATTGAGCATTTGGAGTAAAGAGAATATTATAAAAAACCGTAATTTTTCATGCAAAGCTCGTTGTTTTTGTTGTCTGATAATGGTCATCTACCAAGCCCATTTGCGCCCTCATTTCATTCGATGAAGACGATAGAGTCCCGTTCTTACCATCACCGCTTGACGTTCTTCGCTAAGCATAGAGATGTCGCTGGGGGACGTAACAATCTGGTAGAGGAAGGATGCCTAATATCGGGTAGGTTCCGAATATCGGGCAGCGGTTTATAATGACCAACATGTAACAGGAACCACATTAAATGCAACCTGTAACGTTCATATATTTTTGTGACCTTCATTCTTCCACAAACGCGGGAAGTGTGTGAAATCCGCCACGAATATTTTGAAAGTGTTAACTAGATTGGTGTTTTCATGAAAAGGTAGGTATGTTTTTGTTTATTTTTATGTTCATATGTCTTCTGTAGGCTTGCAGCCATCCACTAAGGATTAGAAAAATGTCCCTTTCGATTTGCTTTTTAAGATATATTGTCGTAATATTTTGAGGTTATGTTTCCTAATATCGGGCATGTAAAGATGCCAAATATCGGGTACCCGATATAAGGAACACTTGATGTTGTGACGTAGATATTGTTTCATTATATTGAAGTTATAATTATTAAGCATCTGTTTATTCACAGATGCCTCCAAAAAAAAGAAAGCAATGGAATGCAGAAGCGATGAAGAGGGCAGTAGAAGCAGTTAAGAACAAGGAAATGGGAACTCTCAAGGCGTCTAAAGCATTTGGCGTGCCCAAAAGCACACTGATTGATTATGTAATAAGTAAGAAACCGGTTGATACATTACTTGCTATCAAATTAGGCAGAAAACCTACTTTAACAAATGAACTTGAAGAAGCACTATACTACACCTATTTAAAACTGTAATGACTCATACGCGTGATCAACACGTGATCAGAACTCGATCCCGGCTTCCTTCCAGTACAGCCGTATAGCGTACGACATATGTCGTTTCTGTGGCTTTGTGGTGGTCAACAGCACAGACAGAGATGGAAATAATGGCTGATTGTTCTCCGCCGGTAGAACCAATGAAATCAAAGACGTGCCTCGACCGGCAGACTCAGAGGCGTCGGCAACGCATTGGAACGCGTTTCGTTGAGCGATCGCATATTGTGTGTTTTTATAAGAATTGTTGTGTGATTGTTATTGTTGTGGTTTCTGTGGTTACTGTTTTGGTTATACTTAACCATGGAGAGTACAAATGGCACGAGTGGAAGTACTGAAAGCCAGGGAACAAGTAGACGGCTTCGTAAAGCACTGAAGAGGGACGCGAAAGAAATCGTGCTCAACGTGTTCAATTATCTGAGCAGAACTATGTCGCAGGGAGATGCACTCGCGCGTTGTGAAAGTATGACAGGCGTTCCAGAGTGGACCATTCGCAGGGTGGTGCATGAAAAGAAGAAAACTGGAGCTACTACTGATCCAAAGTTTAATTTGAAGGGACGAAAGGCCGTTAAATTGGATGACGATAGCAAAATGGCGTTAAGGCGAACCGTACATTCATTCTTCTTTAGGAATGAGATACCAACCCTCAAGGCTATACATGTAGCGATCAAGGAAAATGAAATTATACCCCAAATGAGCGTCGAGGTAATGAGGAAAACCATGCACGAAATTAATTTTCGTTACGAAACGCGTAATCGGAAGTCAGTATTGATAGAGAGACCTGAAATAGTCGCCTGGCGACGAAAATACCTACGCGAAATGATTGAATATAGGCGACAAAGCAGAAAAATCTATTATTTGGACGAGACATGGGTAAATGCAGGTCACACAGTTAAAAAAACCTGGATAGACAAAAACGTAGTGAGTAACCGACAAGCAAGCATTGAAGGTTTGTCAACAGGTCTTCGTGGACCGTCAGGGAAAGGTCAAAGATTGATCGTAGCTCATATTGGTAGCGATAGTGGCTTTTTAGAAGAGTGTGACTTGATTTTCGTCTCTAAGAAAGGAGGTGATTACCATGACGAAATGAATGCCAGCTGCTTCGAGAGCTGGTTTCAAGGGGTGCTTCAGCGAGTTGAGCCCAACTCTGTGATCGTCATGGATGATGCTTCCTACCATAGTCGTCGAGCCGAACGTGTACCGACTATGGGATCTCGAAAAAGTGACATGCAGCAATGGTTGCGCGAAAAAGGAATCCCGTTTGACGATTCATGTGTGAAAGCGGAATTGTATGCAAAAATTAAACAGCACAAACCTGCGAACATTAGTTACGTGACTGATGAGATGGCCCGTCAATGTGGTGTCACTGTGCTGCGGTTACCGCTCTACCACTGTGAATTGAACCCAATAGAGCTCATCTGGGCTCAAGTGAAGGGTTATATTGCGCGCCATAACACAACCTTCAAATTACCAGACGTTAAGGTTTTACTTGAGACTTCCATACAGCTAGTAACGCCCGAAGCTTGGCAGAATGCTATCCGTCATGTTGTGAAGGAAGAAACAAAAATGTGGCAGCTTGACCACCACATCGACACCATCATAGAGCCAGTTATAGTCAATTTCAACGAGGAAAGCGATAGCGACAGTTTATTACTGTCAGATGTAAGTGGAAGCGACGATAAATAAAGGTAATTCCCAAATTTTTGACTTACAATATGTTTCAAACCACTCTTTATTAAGCATGTGACAAATCTAGTTCACCCATGTTAAACATTCATACCCCGCCTATGAACAGCCGACTACTGGTAGTTAAGTGATGTTCACGTGAACATCGATGAGTCATTACAGTTTTAGATAGTTAGAGTATAGTTGAGTAAGCTCTCGAAATGGAAAGAAGGTATTTTGGTCTCCGAGCGTCAGATGTAAGAAGACTAGCCTTTCAGCTGGCGATACGTATTGGGCTGCTGAAAAAAAATGGTTGAAATCGTTCATGTCAAGACACCCAAAATTGTCTTTCCGAAAATCACAGGGAATTTCTGCAGCCCGTGTTAAGGGTTTTACAAAAGAGAATGTTCAAGCATTTTTCAACCTCCTTGGTAGCGTTTTGCCAAAAGTTGGCTTTAATCCAGCAGCAATCTATAATGTTGATGAGACTGGTATTACGACAGTACAACACAAACATGCCAAAGTGATAAGTTTGAAAGGAAAAAGGCAAGTTGCAGCTTTAACTGCTTCGGAACGGGGTGCTTTAGTAACTATTGTAACGTGTATGAACGCTGTCGGTCGTTACATACCACCAATGTTGGTGTTTCCCCACAAAAATATGAAGTCTGAGCTTCTAAATGGAGCTCCCCCTTGGTCCGTTGCCAGATGTCGTCCATCGGGATGGATTCAGCAAGACATTTTACAGACTGGCTGAGGCACTTTATTTTACACATAAAACCTAGCGAATCCGAACAAGTTGTCTTGATATTAGATGGACACTATTCTCATTCAAGGAATATTGATGTTATCAACATTGCCAGAGATAATTTCGTCCATATTATCTGCCTACCTCCCCATTCTACAAATAAGTTACAACCACTCGATGTCTCCTTTATGTCACCTTTCAAAACTTATTATGCTGCTGAAATTGAAACATGGCTTAGAGCAAATCCAGGGAGAGTTGTAACTTCTTATCAAATATCGGAACTAATGGGAAGAGCCTATTTAAGAGCAGCGAGTTGTGAAATTGCAGTGAATGGTTTTAGAAAATGTGGAATATTACCATTCCAACCGACAATTTTCCGAGATGACGAATTTGCCATCCATTCTTCAAATGAAAGACAATCAGTCGAAGGAGATAATGACGAAAATCAGATTGCTGTTTATCCTGCTGTTGCTGAAAACTTAAGAAAAGAAAGAGAAACTACACCACCCATTTCGACACCTAAGCTCGTTGTACCTCAGGATATTTGTCCTATACCTAGCCTAAAGACAAAACATCAGTCTCCAAGGCCAGGTTGTTCGGGTGAAGCTTCTAAAAAAGGAGATAAACGTGGTTCAACAGCTATCCTCACTCCTACGCCTTATAAGACAGATTTAGAAGAGAGCTTGAAAAAAAGAAAAAAGATCACACCGAAAAAAGATAGCCTGAATCAAAATAAATCAAAACTAAAAAACGAGAAGGAAAAAGTTAACAATAAAAAATCGATCCCAAAAGGAAAAAAAGGAAGAAAGAGGAAGATAAGCTCATCTAGCAGTTCTGATAGTGATGAAATTCAATTGGTAGACACGGATGACGACATGGACCAAGATGATGTCGATGTGGAATGCTTTTATTGTTCCAACTGGTTCTCTGAAGATATTTCTGGATCCAAGTGGGTCCAATGCATGAAGTGTCTGCATTGGTGTCACGAAGATTGCTCAGATATAGGCAAGGAGAAATCATGTATTTGTGAATTATGTTTAGATGGATAAATACTTGTTTCTTTTGAACTTTATTCTCTGGTTATTGCGAAATAGTTATTTTATTTTTTATATTATCCTGTGTCTTCCTGTAAAATAAAATCTCTTAGATAGCTAATATTGCTACTTTGCATTTTTTAAAGAAGTTGTAGCCTAATATCGGGCACCCGATATTTGGAATCGACACTACCCGATATTAGGCAAACTTTTTTTAATTTAAGGAAATGATACCATTTACGAATTTTCTGAATAACAGCAACTGTGTTTACTTAATTTTAATTATCTCTTGTAAAACAAAACTAGGAACAATAAGCAATAAATATGTCAACCGATTAACTTTTGGGAATTAATAGAAAAGTTTTACTGAACATTTTTAAAAAGGTACCCGATAATCACTGATCAACAGCCAAAAAATATCCTAAATAAAATCTACAAAATATTACTATTTTTAATGTGCTTAAACCGGAATGAAACTTATTTTTTCAATATTAGTTCAAGTTTTAGAGATACGGTAATTATATGTGTTCCTGCTGTGACAGTGTTAATATACTGTAATTCACAAGAATGCACGTGCTAGATTTTTATATTCGGCAAGGAAAGATGATGTAATCGGCAAGATTGTGTTACGTTATACATACGTGTACATTATATTGTCTTATATTAGCCATTTTTTCCTCAGTTGGCTGACAGCGTTCATGCAAGATGTCTCGAAAGTGTGTAAACAATCCAGATCAGTTTTGCTATCCCAATGGTTTGGAGAGAGCCTACAAATCATAGTAATGATTGTTACTTTTGCATGGTACCTTGTGTTGGACAAGCCACAGGTATGTCCAAGAAAAAAAAATCGGTTATTAACTACCCAAACATACCATCTGCGATGAGACCTGTGCCTCACAGTGACGAAAATCCTATTCCAAAACCCCCAGAATCCTACACTTGCGAATCAGAAAACGAATCAGATCATGGCGATCGAGTGATTCGTCAGGAAGAAGATATGCCATCAACGTCAAGAGATCCTGATTTTATACCGAGCACGTCATGCCACCAACCGCACAAAATAACACAGTCAGAATTAAATGATCTTGTAAGAGATTTAGAACTTCCAAAATGTAAGGCAGAGTTACTTGGATCAAGACTGCAGCAGTGGAACTTGTTAGAAGACGATGTTTCGGTATGTGTTTTTCGTAAACGCCACAAAGACTTAGAACCATTTTTCAATATGGAGAATAACTTGGTTTTCTGCAGTAACATTAACGGCTTACTGGCGGCTTTAAATATAAACTATAACCCAGAAGAATGGAGATTGTTTATAGACAGTTCAACATTGAGTTTAAAGGCAGTGTTATTGCATATTGGAAATATTTTACCATCTCTTCCTGTAGGGTATGCAGTTCACATGAAAGAATCATATGACAATATGAAGTACCTATTGACATGCATAAAATACGATGAGCACCAATGGCATATTTGTGGCGATTTGAAAGTTGTTGCACTTTTACTTGGGCTGCAGCTAGGCTACACAAAGTTTTGCTGTTTTTTTGTGTGAATGGGATAGTCGGGCAAAGGCACTTCATTACACCAGACAAAACTGGCCTGTTCGTCAATTCCTAGAGCCAGGTCAAAAAAATGTACAGCATGTGCCATTAGTAGACTCGAAAAAAATTTATTACCACCACTGCATATTAAGTTGGGCCTAATGAAAAACTTTGTCAAGGCATTAGATAGAGATGGGTCAGCTTTTCAATACCTGCGTCAGAAATTTCCAAGACTAAGTGAGGCAAAGGTTAAAGAAGGTATTTTTGTTGGGCCACAGATTCGAAATATTTTGAAAGATACACAGTTTGAAAACACTTTAACAGGTATTGAAAAAACTGCTTGGAATGATTTCCGTCTGGTGGTCACTAATTTCTTGGGAAATAGAAAAGCTGACAACTATAAAACCCTTGTCAAAAATATGCTGTCATCGTATCAAAAGATGGGCTGTAATATGTCTCTTAAGATACATTTCCTACACTCACACCTGGACTTTTTTCCTGACAATTGCGGAGCCGTAAGTGATGAGCACGGCGAACGTTTTCATCAGGATATTTCAACAATGGAAAAAAGGTACCAGGGAAAGTGGAATCCTTCCATGCTTGCAGACTACTGTTGGACTCTTGGTAGAGATTCTCCAGAAACGATCCATAAAAGAACAGCAAAAAGACAGCGCATATAGTGATTCTTATAAGTATATGAATCTTGTTACTTTTTTTAATATATCCTTAAAATTTAACATTTTTTTTTTCTAAACCGCAACTAATTTTTTTATTTCATTGTCATTTTTGGATTCAGCGCCCCAAAATTAACAAAGAAGTGCACTTTTCCCACAAGATACAATTAAAAAACTAAAATTTGTTGTCCAGAATAGGCGTCCTTCCTCTACAGTTTAGGAGCTTCCTAGCGCTCATCCGATTTCGCTGGATGGCCGAGTTCTACCAAAGAGCCGTTGATTTCGGGTGGTCGGAGTCCAGATGACTTGATCTGTCAAGACTACATCTCTTCAATAGCGGGAGCTGCTGGGAAAAAGTTAGACTATCTGTCTGGATCTAAGAAGTACTTTTTTCCACATTACGTCGCCACTCTGTGAAACTTAGCCGCGAGTACTGCTCACATGTTTGGCGTGCTGCCGCGCTGACTACATGTTCGATGCTGTTCATGGGAGTTAAGCTCCTCATAGCGGCCGCAGTGTCTTGGTATTTAGGCTTCCGCCTGCGCGACTACATCGGAGTAAAAAAATACCAAGAATTGCCTGGTCTCTGTCTTGGTCTTTACGTTGCAGCTTTTATCGGTCGATTAAAATAGTTCCAGATTATTTTTGATGCTTGATACTAATGAGAGAAGCCACATAGAATATGATAGAGTTAGCAGTTTGGGACTATATGCTAAAATGTAACTCTTTCTACGGATAAATACTTTATATACAGGGTGGCGCAACGCAAACGAAACAGAGGCATTTACTGGCAGCTCAGTTTTTTTGAAAAACGCTCAGACCCGTCGATTTTGTTTCCGAGGGGGACTCAAGTTTGGCAAAAAATCACGTTAACACGTGCAGCCCCCTGGGCGGGGGTGACACCAACCCTAAAATCTTAAATGGAAAGGGGGGTCGAGTGATACCTTATTTTAAAGGTCTTTCAATTCCCTTTATAATGATGTAAAATACATGAGCTTCAGTTCAGTAGTTTTGAAGATTTATTGATTTAAAGTTTAAAGTAGACTTTAATAGGTACATCAGATTAGTTTGTACTACTTTCAGAAGAAATTTGACTAAAAGAATTTACTTAATAAGTAAATGCTTTTCTTCACTACGCCCATGGTTTGTTTATCATTTTGTTGTTGAAAATAGCTGTTGGAGCGATTTTTGTGGCAAAAAAGTTATTTCTTGAAGAAAGATAAGGAAATATCTCGTACTTATTTTAAATAGGAATTTATTACATAGTTTGCGATTGATTTGACCAAACTTTGTTGCTAAAATAACTTGTAACGCTTTATTACATAAATTAACCTTGGTATATTCCACAGCAGAAAGAGTTGAAGTTATCGAAATATTTTTCGGAAATAATCAGTGCGCTAATAGAACAGCAGAAATATTTAATGAGCGACATGAGAACCAGTATCGTGCATCGAAAATATGATCAAGAACTTGTAGCTAAGTTTCGGGAAACTGGGTCAATCGCCAATAGAAAACACAACATTGAAAATCCCATAAGGAACGAAGAAATGGAAGTGGGGGTTTTAAGGCAAGTTAAGTACCCGCAAATTGGAGACTGTGTGTGGTGTTAGTCGACGTACTGTCCAACGGATTCTAAAGGCCCATAGTTTTCATCCGTATAAAATTCACCTGGTACAAGAACTTAATGAAGACGACTTTGATCGGCGATTACAATTTTGTGAAGATATGAGTGAACGAATTATAAACGATGAACATTTTCTATTCAATACTTGCTTTTCCGACGAATGTTCCTTTTTCTTAAATGGCGTAGTAAATCGTCATAACTGCCAATATTGGTCCGATTTTAATCCCAGAATTTATCATGAGGTTCATACACAGCAGCCACAAAAATTAAATGTTTGAGCTGGCATTTTTGGCGATCATTTAGTTGGTCCTTTTTTCTTACCTGGAAATTTGACCGGTGAAATGTACTTGGAATTACTGGAAGGCCCCATAGATCCTGCATTAACAGCCATAGTTGAAAATCAGAATGATTGGCGGTACATGGCGAATAGGCTGATGTTCCAACAGGATGGTGCCCCACCTCATTACGCATTGCGTGTTCGACAATATTTAGATCAGACGTTTCCAGATCGATGGATTGATAGAAGAGGTGCCATTGAATGGCCCCCAAGATTGCCAGATTTATCACCTTTGGATTTCTTTATGTGGGGTCATTTAAAAAGCAAAATCTATGCTACTCAGCCAACATCATTAGAAGACCTGCGATAAAGAACTGTGAATGAGTGCCTTTAAATTACTCCTCAAATATTGCAAAATGTGCGGCAACGTTTTGAGCAAAATCTTTATTACTGCATGGAGAGTCATGGTGGCAATTTTCAACATTTACTTGAATAACATTGATTGATTGATTGATCTCCACAAATGATGATGTATTAGTTTTATTTAAGCTTTAGATCAATAAATCTTCAAAACTACTGAACTGAAGTACATTAATTTTATATCATTATAAAGGGAATTGAAAGACCTTTCCATTTAAGATTTTGGGGGTGGGCTCACCCCCGTTTAGAGGGCTGCACGTGCCACCGTGATTTTTTGCCAAACTTGTGTCCCCCTTGAAAACAAAATCGACGGGTCTGAGCGTTTTTTCCACAAAAACAACTTAGCTGCCAGTAAATGCGTCTGTTTCGTTTTCGATGCGCCACCCTGTATATAAAAAGAAGAAAATGATCATGCGGAGAAAGGTATTTTACAAAAAGTATGAAAATAATGCGCAAAATCCGCAAAAAGGAGGAAAGTGGAT